CACACATTGTCTCACACAAGAGAAGAGAGAGAGAGAGAGGTGGATAGAGCCGTTTGATGTCATGACAACTAAACAGTAAAAATCAATATAAATACTACTACTTTCTATGTTAGTTCATATCGTGAGTTGATTTAAATATTAACAGTTATCGAGCATTAAAGTCCATTTTGCATAAGAATATCATTAATATTTAGAATCAGTCAATCGGGTAAATCGTGTATTTGTTGGTAGAATGGACAAGGACACTTTACGCAAACAGATCGAGAATATGAGATACCAGGCGTTGATGGAAAGATGGCCTCTCTCTAAGTCTATTCAGGCGTAAGTAGTTTTGGTTATCATTCGTGTGTTTATTACAAATCAATTATATTTACTCTTAAATTATGAGACAATCAAATTGAATACAACTGTTGAATAATAAAATAAGCATAATGCAACATGGTTGTTTTGTGCGTGTATTATGTTACAACAGTTACTGTTATATCTTATAACTGTATGTGATATTCAAGTATAGAAATGTGATTAATTGATTTGGTTTAATGTATTTCATGTATAGATTGCGTGAATACATAGAGGAGAACGAGACTCAGGACCCACTCATTCACACCCCCGACAAGAAGAACAACCCGTGGGCTGAAAAGGGGAAGTGTTTGGTGATGTAGTGCCCGCACACACCCACACACACCCGGCCGCACATTATTTGCCATCTTTTACAACACTATACAAGTGTTTTTAATTCAATCATGGTACTTTTTGTAACACAACAACACTAATGTAGTGTTATTCTCGGAAATATTTCTTAATTTTAGTTGTCGTTCATGTAATTCATGTAATTTATGTAATGATTTGTTCATTAATTAATTAGAAAAACAATTTTAGTTTTATTTGATTAAATATTATTTGAAATGCTATTACAATTATGCTTTGCATTAAAGTATTGTCAATTCTAATACATTAATATATACATTACCAACAAAACTGTACTATAAATGAAGATTGATGAGTATGTAATCTTAGATTGAGAGCCCATTTATATATAGAAATGATTATTTGGGCCAATATTCTGGTTAAAGGCCGCATAAACCCGACCGTAAGAAATGTGGTTCCGATTGGTATTCAATACAACACTTATATTCGTTGAGATTTTTGGCCAAATTGTGGCAATATTTTCAATTGTATTACATTTGACAACAAAAACAAATTCATACGCTATTTGTTAATTGTATCAAAAATTAGTTTAATTTTGCTTTTTATTTCTAACTGTAAATGGTATTACAATTGTATAACTTTACTATCGATTGCAAAAATTGTGGTTTAATTAATATTAACGCTACAAATATATACATAACTTATATTTCAATAAGTTATTGAAAACATAACATTTCTCTTTACTTGTAATATGTTTTTCAACATTCAATTCAAATAACAAAACAATTAAATT